GACGATTTCGTTGACTGCTACTAAATATGCTTTCTAGCTGGGAGTATCTTTGTTGATAACTCGCCAAATCCAATCTTGGAGTTATCGCTACCTGCCCAAGCTTCCATAACGACTTCGTCGCCGTCCTCTATCCAAATCAATTTCTGACCATTCTCCAGAGGGAGCGGGTGCTTGGCGTTTTTCGTCGCCTCTTGGAGACACCCGGATCGTCCAGTGCCAGGCAGGACGCCGTCCTCACTTGCTTGTTGCTCGGTCGAAGACATTGTGCCTGTGCCCAGGAGGTCCCCGTTATTCAAACCACAGCCAGCGGAGCTCTGATGGGCGACCATCTGTAAAGGAGACCAGTGAAGGTGTTTGAGGTTGCTTTGTGCAAACAATGATTTGGAATGGATCCCTTATGTAAGATACAAGTTAGCATCGGTATTCTGTTACACTGTTGCGGAAATGATGGTTTCTGAGCCGCCATACTGGATACATGCGTCGTCACCTGAACGGAGACATCGCGAGAATGCGCCAGGAAGGGGTCTTTGGTCCACTTCCCACCCGGCAACCTTCCGGCTTCGACAGCAATCACTGCACCGGCTTCTTCGAGAGCGTCCAAAGTAACAATCCACGGGGATATACTCGTCCCGCATGCTTTGCCGTTGAAGGGGCCAAGGGGCACCATCTCGTAAAATTGAATATCTCGTGCGCTCCAGTCGTTCAGCAGCACCATCCCGAAGATATGGTCGCGCGCTTGAGCAGCAGGTACAGCCTCTCCAATATCAAGAGGTTTGGCAATAAAGATCCCCATCTCAACCTCAAAGTCCATCCTCTGTGTGGGCTGGAATTTGGGACCGTCGGGGGTGGGGATATATCCCCACGGCCTGATAATTGGCACACCACTGATAACGACGGATGAAGCGCGGCCATTGTAGGCCAATGGAATATGGTAGAAATTGGAGGGAACTTCGTCATGACCTGAAAAGGCCCCCATCTACAGGAAACCTTAGCCCTGCACATTGATATCGACATCTTAGGTTGCACTGGGAAAATATTCTCACCGTGTGCACATGCTCATATGCGCACATGAAGTCAGTGAAGCCGCCTATGGACATAGGAAGGTGCAGCGTCACGTCATTCCGTTGTACGACGAATGCAGACAGTGAATTCCGATCATGCCAAAGAGGCGAGTGTTCATTTCGGATCATAGCTTGAATGTCTTTACGAAACTGTGTTCTTAACTCCCTTGGAAGAGCGGCAAATGCATTCAAAGTCGACTATGCTCATGTTAGCAATTTCGGCTTAGAGACTTTGACTGTTCACTTACTGCTGCTAATGCGGTTCTGAGGGCTACGACTGAGGACTTCGTCTCAGGTAGGTAGCCAGCGTTCACCAGCGCACGCAGGTCTAGGACGTAGTCACCTATAGCCACCCCTGGCCGAGCATCCTTCTGGAAATAATTCAATTAGGATCAGTTTCTCACAAAGTTCTTTCCTTTAACGGTTACAGTAGTGGATGTATGACCATACTTTTGTCTCTGTACTGAAGATCCCAAATGGAATGTTTGTTACTGGAAAAGGAGATTCCCGAGGAACAGGGAACGGGTAGGAAAGAGGTTCTGCCATCGAGGAATTGACGGTAAATGTATCAATGTTACGTAGTGATTCTTGTCGCTTCTGTTTGTTCTTCTTACGGTACTTGAATTGGCGACTTTGGGCATTAGGTGTTAGCCTTTTCCTTCATCTTGGTGAGGTCTAGGCTACTTAACTACGACGAGGAGAAGAGAACAGGGAATAATCCCTAACCCCGGATAAACGGTAGATTGAATGTACAAGTGCCGCTCCGAATATTCGGCCCGATGGTATTGCCAGCTCGGCCCGAACATCTCTTCGGGTTTCAGTATTGTCGGCATTAAGCATAAGTTGAGCTTCGTCATTGAATTTCTTTCCATCATCGTCAGGAAAGTAAGACCCTTAACCCACTCGCATTTGGAACATTTCCTTTCTTTTAAATAGTCCCTCAACTCTTGCTAGAAATAGTCATGTGTTGAGCACCTCCCTCCTGTCACAGATGCGTTCTGAACATATCTGATCACGCACGCCATCTGCCACCCTATGTATCATTAACCAAACTATGGGTTTTCCATCTTTCTCGGATTTGCCTAACCCGCAGCGCTTTATTACAACCCACAGTGAAGATGGCCGCGCTATATACTCGACAAGCCTCCCAGAAACAGTTGAACTCTGGGGCGTGAAGAACCATAAGGGGGAGCATGGCGCTTTCGGCTTCGGATATAGCTCAGAAGGGTTACCGGTGTCCTTAGCCAATGACAAGGATCTCACGGATTTCAAAACATTGGACGCCAATCGCCAGAAGTCCTCTCTCGTCCGAAAGAACGGCACTGTCCTACGGTACGTCGACATCGCGCCTAAAGGCGTTTCGCCAATGCACCGCACCTCCAGCCTAGACTTTGGCATCGTTCTCGTTGGTGAGCTAGCGTGCGACCTCGACTCTGGGGAGCGACGAACTCTCAAGCCCGGGGACGTGGCGATACAACGGGGGACGATGCACCAATGGCTTAACATAACGGACTCTTGGGCCAGAATGGTATTTGTTTTAATGGATGCTAGCGAGGTCGAGATTGGCAACAAGAAGCTGGGCGAGGACCTAGGCGGAATGGTAGGTGTGCCTGCTTCGTAGTAAAGCTTACCAGAAGTGAAATTAGTAAAGAAATCCATACTTGCTTCTTAGCCTTTGAAAGACATCTCTACCACTAAATAAAGTGTCTTTGTTAAATAAAAATGCGTGTGCTATTGCTGTGAATATGAGTAATAATATGCTTGATTGATTTTAATGTCTTAATGTTATCCCTTCGGGTGCCAATTGATCATATTTTGCTGAGGGTGGGGGTAGACTCAACCAGGCTGATGACCTCAGTGGACTATCCAGTAGTTTAGAGGTACCTCTATTCTCTATAGAACTTGCATATAATAGAGGTACTAGTAGTATCTATCAACAAGTAATCATGTATTGATATCCCAGCTATGAGTCTGATCGGCTCAACAACAAGGATCAAGAACAGCACTTTTCAGCCATTTTCAAGAGCCTCTTCAATCAGCTAGCGATTAGCTAAGCTAGCCTCCTGACCCTTTCTTTTCCCCTTTCTAAGGCCAATCGTGATAAAAACAGGAGTCCAGGAGCCCTTTGTCTCTCTTTGCCACTGTTCAAGGCCACATGTATGGTATGGGCTGAACAGATCCTCTGAATAGCGTCAAAATGAGGAGCTTGTATTTGCTTTAGGGACTATGGCGTTTGTGTTATCACCGCACCGCACTTCTAAGGTAATTAAGTCCTACATGATTTTAATAACACTTAAGCCTGATGCTGAGATCGTCTATCGGGGTGGTCTGCTTGAATCAGCTACTTTGTAGAGTTCTGAGATTGCTCAACCAACTTGCTTGAGAGGGGACGTCCAAAGCTTTTTTTCTGTATGTTCAGACCTGTTACTTGAATATCTTGAATAATCTTTAGCTATCGTGACAGCACGCTAGAAACGCGACTTGAGGAAATTTATTCAGCTGCCTAGTATAGCAGTTGGGCTGCAATGAGTCCGAGATACGGCCCCAAAAGTCCTAATGTCTGAGTCAAGGTGGCTCATTAAACTGGTCTATTGGTATCAGGTGAGTGTGACTATAATCATTTTACAATGCTCAGTTCGTAAGCTATAACCCGTTGTTTTCAAGGTGCTTTATGGCCATAAAGCTTCCTGAAGTACAAAGTTGTATCGCTTTCCGTATCCAATAATGCCACTGCTTACACCTCAGAGTGCTAATCACAAACACAAACTTCATCCACATCTTCAAACTTTCGTGCGCCGCCGAAGTCCCCGTTTTTGGAATCAAAGCATATCAAGCAAGTTTCCACCATCGTGCGAATTTTCCATTGCGGGGCAGACAGTCTGGACCGACCTCGATCACTTCAGGCCCCGGCTTCAGCCCGAACTCCACCGCACTAGACGCAAAGACGACAAGTAACCAAACCAGGCTCCTCTATTTGAGCCATATTGCCCCTGCTCTGAATCTACATTGGACAGCATGTTTTTCCTCCCCATTGCACCCACACTTCCAAGAATACCATCGCGGGTTTCTCATCACTTGGGCTACATGAAGAGATTTTGCTGCCGTGGTATGGCATCCACATCAAATGGTTCTCATCCACCATCGTCTGGGAGGGTGGCCGAGTTGGTTATGGCGCCAGGTTAAGGTCAGCTTAACATCTGTTTCCTGGTGGGGCAACCCGCGCGAGTTCGAGTCTCGTCCCTCTCAAGGTATTCTTTTGGTATCTGCGAATCAAGGCGTTTGCTTTTTTGTCTGATACTTTCATTATCCAGAACTGAATTTGACGGATATTTTGGATGATTGTTAGTACTTGGTCGCCTTCGTTCCTCATTCTATGTCTGCTTGTGGTGAGGGATTGACCTCAGCCACTGGGTATACCAGAAAAGTTCGACGGCCATAGTTTCGTTCCTCCGTATGCGCGCGTCCCCGGGCCAGGAGAACCGCTGGCGATTCATCTCCACGAGCCCCGAGTACCTAGCCTTCAGACCCAGACGCACGTGTGCCCCGGACGGCTCTTCGCCAGCAACGAGATGAAGATCATGCTGGCACACTTGATTATGAACTATGACTGGCAGATCACCGGGGAGAAACCAACTGGAAGCATATCCGTCAGCGGATTCGTGCCCGACCAGAATACTGTGGTTGGATGTAGGGCAAGGGTACCTGAAGTGCACCGCCCTCCTGCCCAAGACCCAAGAGGCTGGCGACGGGCAAGGCACCAGCCTAGCAGAATGGAGCAAGCAACCGGGTGAACGGCCAACTACCGTGCCAAAGAAAGACTGCTTGCTAGACAGGTTGTCTTCGCCCTGTGAAGCAGTAAATTGACCCCTTTGGAAGCAAAGTTGGAGGAACTAGAAAAAGAAATGCAAAAAAGGAAATGCGTCAATCGCTGACGGGAATTGAGCCCGACGTGGCTAGTGCTTGTTAGTAACGATGATCAAGATGCTGGTGCGATGTTTGAACTTACGGGTCGAACCCACAACCTTGAGATTAAGAGTCTCACGCTCTACCGATTGAGCTAGCCGGGCGGATGGAAATCCAATGGCTTGGTGTGTGGGGATCGGGAAGCCAGATCCAGTTCAAGGACCGCAAACGGAGCGGTCGAACACGTCCACTTTTCGCTCTTTTGCGACGCGGTGTGTCTTTTTTTTGAGAGGGTCATCGCTACTGCTCTACGTAGGGCTTTGTGTGGTCTTTGCTCCACGGCGGGGGCGGCGGGTGTCGGAGAGGGGTCTGCAAGCCCGTGGACGGGAGGGGCCGTAGGTGGGGGCGGGATGATGCCGAAGACCGGCGCGCGCCGTCGGGGACCTTGTTGCGCGAGTCGGGTCATCCGCCCTACGCAGCAAGCTCGCGAGAACAGGAGGGGCTATCCGCAAAGAACTCGTTCTAGCTTTTGGCCGTGTTTCACAAACCAGGACGCTTACTGTGTCTGACGGCCGCTGGAAACAACTCCGACCGCACGGGCTGAGCTGCTCATAATCGACATAGGTAACCCAAATGATGGGGTACCCAACTTCGAGTACATATCGTGTATGCTGTTCATCGAGGTAAGTGAGCAGCTTGGAGATCGAAACGGCTAGGGAGCAGCAGCCGAACCAAGTAGAGTTGCGAAGGCATGCCACGCTATCGCAGTCTCAGACATGTTCGTACTAGTGTAACATTTGGGTCAGAGGGTAAAGGAGGAGAAGGATGTTCCATCAACGAGCCAGATACCAGATGACATCAAGCGATAGCACGGGTCTCGTCGAGCCGAAAGTGAAAGTGACAGTAAACTTTGACGACATAAGAAAATTCATTTTGTAGAGTATATCTTGGCTATGCACACTCTGCAGGCCTTTTCTGGGTCTGCCCTATTTTCGCCCTTCCGTTTGAACGTCATCACCCCCCAGTCATATCAGTACAGACTTTGAGTAAAAAGCAACCTTCACCGCTATTACCACGCCGTCTCCATCGGTTCAGCCCCCAACCGGCATTTAGTGTCCACCTCCCCTCGCTCTCTTCGCACCGGCGCCTCCGCCGGCCTCGGAATCGCCTCTTGGCCTCTTGTTCCCGGGCTGGAAGTCGTTGGCGCCCGGGTTCAAAGGCCCGGCACCGTGGCCTCCTCTGCCGCCACGTCCACCGCGTCCAGCCATGCCACCTCTCTCTGCGCCACCGCTTGAGACCCTGTTACCGGCAGCAAAAGCGCCACCACGGCCGCGTCCAGCAGCTCCACCGCGCCCAGGCAGAGGAATGCCGCTCCGTGGGGCTGGTTGACCTTGAGTCGCCGGTTGCTGTTGCGCTTGACCTTGTTGTCCTTGCTGGCCGGTCTGGCCAGTCTGACCAGCATGCGCACTTTGGGTACTCGAGGCAAACGGATTTTGTTGTTGCGGCTGCTGTTGCGCTTGGGCTCCTTGAGCAAAGGGGTTGGGCTGAGGTTGTGTACCGTTAGCTGCGCCAGTCGCGAATGGGTTCGCCCCGGCTGCAATGGCTGTTGGCTTGTTCTCTCCGGGAGCGGGGATCTGTCGCTTCTGCGGAATGGTACTGCCCGGTGGAGGAATGCCGCTAGGAGCAGTGGCTAGCGGCGGGGCTTGGTTGGTTGATGTGTTGGGGGCAACTTGAGAATAGTTAGATCCAATGAAGATTCCTGTCTCTCCGGCGTAAGACTTACCATTCGAAACCGTACCAGCTTGAGCTGGCGGGGCAGAAGGGGCTGATATGGATGGACGGGGTGCGGCGGCCGGCTGTGCGTTGCCGGCGGGCTTCGCCGGGCTTGGTTGCGGCGCGGCGGGAGCTGGTTTGGCAACCTTGGCCTCCTCCCACACCTCTCCCACCGGTCGTTGAGGCGTTTTGACTGCAGCAGTAGACACAACTTCGATCTTGGCATTGGCGCTCTTGATTTGGTTGTCCTTCATGTTGATCTGCAGCGCTGACTTCTTTTGAGCCAGCATCTGGCCCTCCTCTCGAGCGCTCGCGATTCTTTGCTCGAACTCGGCCTTCAAGCTGGTCTCTGTCTCGTTCTTAACCTTGGCAGTTTGCTCTTCCAGCTTCTTTCTAAGATTTGAGGACATGATGCTGCGCACTGTGGGATTCGTGGAAAGGAACTTGCGGATCTCGGCGTCGGGAAGATGAGAGAGATCTGTTGAACCAGCGGGTGTGCCAGTCATTGGCGTTGTCGATGCCACTTCAGGGTCCTGCTGCTTGATAGGTGTCGCGGGTACAGCTGGCTGCTCGTCCGCAGGTTGGCTAGAAGCGGCACCTTGGTGCTCGGCCTTCCAGATAATCTTTTCTTGCTCCAGCTTGGTCCTGTATTCCTCGTCTAACTTCTCACGAGACTGGCGGAGTTTCTCGTTCAAGGCGTTCCTCATCTTGTCCGACCGTTCCTTGATTGTCTGTGTGATATTCTCCTCGAGCTCGTTCGCCTTACGTTCGTACTCTGCAGCCTTGGCCTCAGCAGCAGCAATCTTCTCCTCCAAGGCCTTGCGCTCGTCGTCAGCCAGACCACTCGTGCCGTTTGCAGTTGCTGCTGCGTTGTTGGTTTCCGTGAGTTCGGTTGCGCCTTGCGACTGTGACTGAGCGGCCTGTTGCGCGGCTTGCACAGCCTGATCTCTCTCGAAGGTGACCGTCTGTAACTGCGTTCGGAGGTTTTCGAGCTCTTGCTCGGCGGTTGCCTTCTGTGCAGAAACAGCATCCAGCTGGCTTCGAATCTCGGCGAGTTGCTGCTCCAGCTGGGCGACGATTTGCGTGGAGACTGATGTCGACGCATCCGCTGGGGGCTGGGCGCCTTGGGTGCCAGACTGTGCTGCCTGGGCATCCTGCTGGAGCTTCTGGACTTGTTGCTGGAAGCTCTGGATCTGTTGCTCAAACTCGGTGCGTTGCTGCGTCGACGTCTGCAGTCTCTGCCGCGTTGACTCCAGTTCCGTGTTCGCATTGTTGAGTTGCTGTTGGAGTTGGTCCTTTTCGGCGACCACGGCATCCTTCTCGGCAACGGCCTCATTTCGCGCTGTGTTGGCGTCGTTCTTCTCGCCGGTAAGCTTTCGCGACCGTTCCTTGAACTGGTCCGTCATGCGCTGACGGGTGTTCTGCCAGTTGGCTCGCTCGGTCTCCAGCAATTGCTTAGCTTCCTCAATCTCGGCTCGCAGAGGGGTCTCGGACTCCTTGAGGGCGTCGCGTTCAGCCTGCAGATCAGTGATGGTCTGCTTAAGCTGTTCCATCTCAGCAGGATCGACACGACCGTATTTCGTAAGAATGCCCTCGGTCCGCTTCTGCCATCTGTCACGGTCCTCTTGAACTTGCTTGATTTCATCCTCCAGGAAGCCCTTCTGGGTCTGTAGTTCCTCAATCTTGGCCTCAAGAGGCTGAACCTTGCCTTCCAGCTCCTCGATCTTGGCGTTCTTCTCGGAGATCTGAGCACGCGCCTGAGCAAGCTCGTTCCGAAGGGTTGCGCTGCTCTCACGGTAAAGATTGAGTTCGTTGAGCTTGTCCATCAGATCCTTGTGGGCGATGGATGCTTGACCACTCTCAGCTTGTGAACGACGTTCCTGGTCCAGCTTGAGACGGGCCTCGTCGAGCTGGGATTGAGAGTACTCCAGTTGTTGTTGCAGGCGCTTGGATTCCTGCACCTTGAGGTCGTACTGGACCTCCAGAATCTCCTTTTCGCGTCGGAGGTAGTTGTTGAGTTCGCGAAGACCATCGGCTGCGCTATCGTTGCCGCTTTCTGAACTGCCGCCGGCATCCTCAGCCGAAGTGTTGCGACCCTCCTTGAGCGCAGAGAACTGCTTCGTGATGCTTTCCAGTTGCTCATGCAACAGCTTGTTTTGGGCATTGACGTCGTCACGACGGGTCTTGATTTCCGACATCTCTTGCTCCAGTCGCTGTCTTCTCTCCTCCCAAGAGCTCTCACTCTGAGACAGAGCAACCTTGGCAGACTCGGCTTCGGCTCTGAGAGTTGCAGATTGACTTTTCAGCTCGTTGTATTCGGTGCGCAACTGCTGGACCAGCTTGGCAGCTTCAGCGTGCTTCACGAGCTCGTGCTCGTAATCCTGTTGAGCCTTGGCGGTGATCTCAGATTGAGCACGTAGATCCTGTTGATGGAACTTGGCAGCCTCAGCGTGGCGCTCCGTCTCTTCCTTCAACCGCTTTATTTCTTCATCCAAGATGGTCTTCTCGTCCTCGTACTTGCGGGCAACCTCGGCCTGGGAGTCGCGCAGGTGGGACAACTCTTTGTTGGAGCTTGCTAGCTCGGTTGACAAGTCCTCGACGCGCTGCTCAAGCTCCTTGATCTTGGCGTCCTTGCCAGTGAGAGCAGCTTCCATTTCCTCTCTGTATTGTTCCTGAGAGGCTGTGAATTCGGACAAGGCCTCTTCATTCTGCTCGCTGAGCTGCTTGTATTGCTCAGTCTGTTCTTTGGCGTTTTCGAGTTGAGACTTGGCGATATCGAGTTCCCTCTTGAGATCCGACACCTCGTTGATGAGCTCGCGCACCTCGGCCTCATTCTCTTGATCGGTCTGAGTGGGAGGTGCCATGGTCCCGGGGCGAGGCGTAGGCCTGGGCGCCAGGCGGCCAGCCCGCTCTTCGGCATTGCGAAGCTCGATGGTAAGCTCGTCGACACGGGCTTGAAGATGGTCACGGCTCGTTTTGACGGCTACGTGTTCTTCACGGATTTGGCTCAGGCTGGTGGAGAGTTCGTCGATACGTTTCTGTGACTCGCGTGCGTCGAACTCCTTCCTGAGCTGAAGCTTCTTCCCTTCCTCCATCTCATCCGACAACTTTCGCTTAGTGCTGTTGAGTTCTTGTTCGAGTGTATCAATCTTCGACTGCGCTTTCCGTCTGTATTCGGACTCGGAAATGTCACGCTCGTTTTGCATCGACTGCTGGCTGGCCAGGAGGTTGTTGAGTCGCGTCTTCTCCTGCATGAGGTTTTCGTTGTCTTGGTTGAGACGATCCTGGATGTCCTTCCACAATTTCTTCTCGGCCTTGAGATTCGCAGCTTCGTTGCGGACACTCTCAAGCAAGCCCTTGGCATCGATGAGCTCTTCGGCGACCTGCTGGG